GAAGTCGTAGCTGCTCGGCTCCTTCGGGATGGGCGGCGGCGCCTCGGGGATCTGGATGTTCTCCAGGTCCAGGAGCCGCAGCTTCATCTCCATGCTCAGCAGGGTGTCCAGGTCACTTTTGGTCAGCTCACTGGACATGTCCTTTCCCAGGAGCGCGTTGAGGCCATCGATCCAGATACAGTACTGCAGGGAGAAGGGATGAAGTGACGGGTCATGTGGAATCTCTCCCTCCATGCAAACATTAGATTCTCCTGCACAGTTCCAACATAGGAATCACGGGAAGGAGTTAACCTACGGTGGAAAAATCCCAGCGCCCAAACAGTGCCCACCGGGATTTCCCATGGAAATCAGAGGCCACAGGGCAGCATGACCCCATGGCTCTAGGAGAGGACCAAGGGTTTCTGTCGTGCCATAGCAACTGGTTTAGACATCAGCCCCTTATAGAACAGGGAAATGGGAACAACTGGCTGCACACAAGGAGAAAAAGTATCAGTGCAGACTGAGGGAAACCAGTTAGGGTTTGGGTTTGTTGTTTTGGTTTTTTTTAAAAAAGAGAAAGATAACTGAAAAAAATTAAAAAGGAAAAATCACATTAGGCATTGACACCATTTTCTAAGAATAAACCTGGGGAGAGACATCCCACTCAAGTTGTTAATGAGAAGCAAGTGATCCTTCTTAATCTCTGAAGTTAATTGATTTATATTGTACTGCTTAATAGCTGTTTCTTACCTCATATTTATTAGGTGCAATGAAATTCAAGGTCTCATCAGGATCGTATAATATCGAGAAGGCCAATTCTAACACTTCCTGAATGGAAAAGGATCTTCACTCATCAACTGAACAAAACATAATAGCACCTTCTCCCTGTGAACCCCACAAGAGCAGCTGCCTCACCGCACCCCCTGCATCCCCCAGGTCTGAGCAACTGCACAGCCTGTAGCAGCACTGAGCAGCCACAGATGAGCACTAGGAAAAGGCCCAGATGTGGGTGGGTTTTGCAAACTATACAGCTTAGCAAGCCATTTGCTCCTGCTGCTTGCTTTCAGTCTTCAACTCTTCAATGCTACACAGTAACATTGAATGTTACTTACAAGCAAAAAGGGAGCACTTACCTTACTCTGTTTCAGTGCACTTTTTTCCTTCATGTGTGGGCAATCCTTGCCAGTGACAATGGCTTTGATGTCTGCAACTGGAACTAACAGTGAAAAAGTAAAACAAAAAATCTAACCAGGAAAAGACAGAACTTTGTTTTTCCTTTGCAACTGAGCATCATTCCTCTTTCTGTAGCTCATTACTGCAGTTTTCCAAAACAGCTTTTTCTCTCATCTCTAGGATGGTACTCTTAACAGTTGAGCACGTAACATTGCACAGTGTGCTCAGAGCAGTAATTGGGACTTACTTTTTTCCTGTAGAGATTCAAAGGTCACTTCCCCTTGGGCATTATCTTCCAGATCTCCATAGTGTAGCACCTTGTGATTCAGAGCCAGGCGACAATACCAAAATCTTTCTGGAATACACAACAAGTAGAGTAAGCTGAGCAAGACCATGCACTTAAGGTCCTACAGTCACTACACTCTAGTCTCTGCACCCAAGCTCTGTGCCGCCAGTTCCTCAACACCTCATTCTGTTCATGAGGGCACAGCTAGATTCTTAGAAACATCTGTTCCATTCCAAACTACTGCCTGGTATAGACAGCCCAGGTAAACAGCTTTCCTTTCTGGCAATATACTGGCTAATCCATTAAATCTTACTTGCCTAAAGTTCTTCATATGAAAAATCACAGTAGACACTGTTACCTTGTCTTCTGCGATTGCCAATTTTTCGAAAGCTACTTCCCTCACAAAGCCTGTTCAGGCGCTGTTGCTTTATCAGCTCCAAGATCTCAGGTTGGATTTTCTCTCTCAATTCCCTGGCAATCAAATATGGAAGAATAAGTAGAAAATTGAGATAATGGCAAGCACAGAAGGCAGCTTTTTGCTAGGCACTCACACAATAGGTGGTGACTGGAAGTCATCTTGGCTCATCCTCTCAGACTGGCGTAGTCGCAGAATCTCAGAATAGCTCAGGCTGCGCAGCTTGCTCTTGAACTGGTCCAAGGAGTTTGGTTTAGAGGGAAGAGCCCGTGTGATCTGTTCCCTCACAACCTGCATAACCTAAGGAGGTTGAGCAGCGAGAAAAGCAAGTCATATTCTTGCTGTTTAATGGCATCAGAGAACCAGGGCACAGATCAGTGGCAGCAAAGGACTGGCATGGAATAACTGGGGCCAGGGGTGTCAATGTACTAGTGACTTTGAAGATTCAGAAAAACAAAGAATGAGCTCAGGTCATATCAAATAAAACTTGGGCCATCTTCCCTTACAGCCCACATCAATGCCCTGTCATACCTTCTTGTGCCCTACTCTTTAAACAAGTGTACAGGCTGACCGAACACATGCTGTTCTGCAAAAAATTCAACAAAAATACCACTTCTTCACTCTGACCTTATTAAAGTCTTCTGCTGTAGCCCTCATTTCTTTCCAGGTCTTGTTCAATAGCTGAATGCAGATGGCAAATAGCTCCTCAAATGCACGGTCATGGGTGAAAAACATGGGGTGATAGTCATTCCGGCCTTCATTTGCTTCAGGAAGAAACAGAAACCACAACCATATGAGCATATTGCACAAGAGCAACTAAGAGGAACTAAAATCCACTACAGTGACAGGAACATGAGGGTGTTACAATAGTATTAACTCAAAGAGATTAAGACAGTTCAATGCTTTGTCTCCAGACAGCCTATGCCAGGAATGGCAACTATCCTGCTGCAAGACTCTCTGACTCAAGTGCCCTTTTCATACTAGTCCTCCCAAATGACTGCTTGCAGTTGTTTCCCACCTTCTTTTGGCAGAATCTCTTATAGTGGTTAATTGTCTCAGAATGCTGTTTCGAAACTGTCAGAGCTTCTACACTTTTCTCAAGTTCATTATGGCTTCTAGAGTGTTTTTTTTATACAGCACCCTGCTAAAGTTTCAGGAAGTTGAAGCCTTCCACTTGTGTCAGTTCTTCAGGAGAACCAGGGTGCACATACCAAAATTTCTTCCTTTGATATTGGTATTATCACTGGGACATGGACACTGCAACTCCAAGATCCCCCTATCCTTACATGTCTGTAAGGCAGAAGTGAGATCAAGGTACAAGTGCTTGTGAAAGCTAGTCAGCCTGAAGGCTGCTTCCAGAAGCCCAAGCCCAGCAACTTGGAAAGCTCGGATGATAAATGGTACTTACGGAGCTCCCCAACTTGCAGGATCTCACAAAGCATCCTGGTAAGCTCAATGGCACTGCGCCCAAAGGGACACTCGTGCTTATCTTCTCGACTGCTGTTCTCCAGAACAATCTACAGGAAGAGGATGCAATATACACTGAGAAGAGGTGCAGAGGTGTTGGAATCTGCAAGAACAGCAACTTCACTTACTCTGATATAGGTGTCCTGATGAAATTTGGCCAAGTAGAGCATGTTGTCCAATGCCAGCATCCCTGGAGGAGTCTGAGTAAAATCCATGGCTGGATTGATGTGATTCTGTGAAAAGAGTGTGTAGAAAGAACCTAAACAAATAAGTCCAAAGAAATTGTGTGAGAAACTTTTCTGAATTAATTTTACAACCACCTGTCCATCAAACACTCCCTCACAGAGGTAACCTTGGACAGGTGCTAACCATGCTATCTAAACTTGCTAGAACAGAGGCTGATTCAAAATTCTTCATAGAATGAATGTGTACATAAGCAAGTATCTCCAGAGAATGTGCCCAAGGGGCCCTGGCATTTAACCAACCAGCAAGTTCCTAAATATGTTCCCTGGCAGTTTGAGTGTAGCTGAATTTCTGAAACTCAGGTAGAGAAGTATGGTACAGCAAACAGCTATTTCTGTTCCTTATTTCCCCACAACCCTGACTGAGATAGCTTCAATTCCCTTTATGTGCTTTACAGCCAGCACTCTCCAGATGCCTACAGTGAATCCCAGCATCTTGTAGTCCTTGGTGTACATGGCTTTGCGCTTTTCGGTTCCACTGCCAGGGAGGGTGTTGCTGTCAGACTCTGCATCAAACGCAATTCTTCTCAGCTCAAATATGATGTCTCTCTGTGCCTGAAGGACAGAAAGCAGATAAATGGTATGTGATCAATCACTAGGGCAGTATTTTCATGTAATGCACAGCCCCACCTCTGTCTCCACAACTCACACAGTGAATACAGAGAGATGCCAAAGGTCAGCAACACTACAGAAGAAGAAGCAACACATTTCAAAATGGCAAGTTTCGGTACACTGGGTAACGCAAAATATTTGTGTGCACTTTCCATTAACTTCCCTAAGTTTAGTTAAAGGCAATTTCTAGGCATTCAGATAATACTAAAGCATTTCTCAATTAAGACTACAATGCATCTAAGAACTGAATAACAAACAACATAAAATTGCCCAGCTTCCTTGTATACTGCAATAAAATGGATAAAATTATGTGCCCTCCATATAGGTGGAGTTATCAGTTTGACATCTGGCATCACACTGGTCAAGAAAGGAATATACAGCTTCCAGTGACCACTTTATCTTTCAAAAGTCCCATAGCAAGCAGCAGGATAGTCTGGAGTGTACCCTAATCTCAAGGATTACATTGTGAGTAGTGGGTTTGAAACTGCAAGTTCTGTGGAGCTAAGGAGCTCAGGAATAAAGCCTGTGTACATCCCATTCTATCAGATCTTACTCAGCTCTAATAGTCACCTGATCATTAGGATCCATCTTGGTCATCATTCTCTCTTCCAGGAGGTTAAAGGTCAGGACCTGCAGCACGTACAGCTGATGTGCCATCTCTGTTTTAATCGGGCGGTTTCCTCTGATCACATGCTACAAAATAAAGGATAGGATAGAAATGAAAAGAACACAAGCAAAAATAGAGGTATTAGGTGTAGACATATGCCAGGCTATGTTTAGATCTCTGTACATGAAGATTCAGCTGTTTAACCTCCATATTCCATCACAGGCATAAAGATAAAGCCCTGTAACAGCAGAAAGGAGTATCCTGGTAACTCTTTTTTGAACAAGTGGCTTCAAAACCACCTTTGACAGAGTTGTTTTTCTGGAAGTGCCCTGAGGGCAGCAGAATTTACACTCTGCAGAAGTGAAACCTCTATTGAGAGAACATTGGGAAGCACTCTTGTAATTCCAGACATACTTACATTCAAGATTATAGACCTCAGGTGCTTCTGGGCAAATGCGTTAGCCATCTCCTGTTGTGGAATTCAGAGATGAAATAACATGAGAGAAATATAAACAAAAATCCCACCTTATGCAGAAAGGAGAATGAAACCTACAAACTGAAGATAGCACTGGCATACAACAAAGTGTGTTTTCTACAGTCTGTCAATTTAGCATGGCATCTCACCACAAAGCAAGCATCAAGTTGGGATGCAAGGGTCATTCTTACCATGGTGCAACTCAGGGATGGCTCCCCTACAAAACATCATTAATATGAAGAAGGGCACTAGTGTAGTCAAAGAACAGAAGAAAATTGAGCTTAACATCAGACATCTGCTGATATTTTTATTTCAGGAGACATGT